TTTGGGGTTGAAATTGATTAGACCATAAATTGCTGCAATCTAATCTAGTAAATTTTTATATGTAGCAATAATAAGAAATGACAACAAAGCTTCCCCTCTTGGCTTCCTTGGCTGTTTATTTAAAACGTGGGATCAAAAAACACTTTGATCTAGAAGTTCTTTCTAAGCTTAATGCTACTTTACTAGCTGGTAATCTGGGTTAGAAACTGCAGAAGAGAAACACAGCTGTTGATTTCATCTTGATTACATCTACCAGGATGAAACTGAGCAAAACAGTTAGTTTCTTTGGTTCGTTGACTTTGTTTTTGCAGGCCTCTGATACATGCATGAAATGGTATTCTATAGAAGCAATAGAAGAATTGCTGGCTTAACTAAAAGCATGTTAATGTTTCTTGTTAACTTAATGGAAAGCTTTCAAAAGTTGGTGGGAAAGAATGGTACAGCTGTGGGGGGAGGGAGCTAATTTGAATTCCTGCCGTTGGAAAATGGGCATGTGAATATGACAACTTAGCACTTGATTTAAAAAGAACACACACATCTAGTCCACCTTATATCAAGTCCCAGTGTGTAATTCTTTACTGTTTCATAATTTAATGTCTGTTTGATTTAATTCTACTAGAAATGTTTAAATCTGTATAGTTTAATTCTATTAGCAGAAATGTCTTAAAATCTAAAAATGTTCTGTGTAGCTAGCTGTAAACAGAGATTAGGTCTAAATTGTTGAAGAGTCTATCTGATTGAGCATGGGTGAGATTCAACACTTGAGAAATATTTTCCAGCCTCATATCAAATACCTTGGCATGCTTCCCTCCCTTTTAGGAAATACTAAGCATGTAAATTTTGTTATATTATCATTCTTAGTGAAACTAGGATTTGGAAGAAGGGTGGGTCTGATTAAGAAATTCAGGGAATTCCTTCTTGGACTAAACATACTTTAAGTTTCTGATTTCCCTCTTTGTTGAAGTTAGGTGTACAGATAAGTGTTTCTAGAATACAATTTTATTAAACTATTTAACTGGTTTTTGTAATTCTACCCAACATAGTAGCATTTCACAGTTTGTATTACATTGATATTTGCTCCACATTTTAACTGTTTTGCGTAACAGGAGCCCTTGTTTATAGACTGCTAAGTAATTGCATCTCCAGAAACATGCATGAAGTGTGTGTGTGTGTGTGTGTGTGTGTGTGTGTGTGTGTGTGTGTGTTGCTGCCTTTCTCAGTCACGTAGACTCATCTGTAAGATTAATTAACTGTCTTTCTGTTGCAGTGTTTTTTTCCTTAATATTATGTATCTGAAATAGCTTGAGAGTATGCCTTTGCATATCTCTTTTTAATTTTGCGTTCCAACATAGTTCTGAAAATTACCTAGAACTCTCTTCTAGACCCAGGCTCTGATGTTCTCATTTAGCCATAGTTAAAAAGTTGTAATGTTTAGTTTCTCAGAAGGACACCTCAAATAATACTGACGAGCCTTATGCTTGTCACACTTGCATTCTTTCTATGCACAGTTGCTTGGGAGAATACTTTTTCAGTCCCAAAGCCAAATTTTTCTTGGCATTCCTACAGCATTCTTACTGTGTGCTCAGAATAACTTAGGACACTTTGGGGAATACAAATAAAGACTGCAGAGAAACACAGTGACTTCCTGAAGACTTCATCTCTGGTTTTAGGTCTGGATTATATTTTGGATCCAGTTTCTTTTGATGAAATGTTATTTCTGCATTTTCTGAAACATCACTTCTTAGGTTAAGTAGAAAGCATGCACACCGTTAATACGTTACTCTCAAACTTCCATAGATGGTTGTAAAAAAAAATAGTTATGATTTTCTGTCTCTGAACCAATCTGTCTGTTTACAAGGGTGCTCCCAGTTATTTATTTACAAATATTTATATGCCTTTTCTCATTTTAACAATAACAAACTATAGAAGAATAAAACCACAGCACTATAAAACCACAGCATTCTTCTTCATGGTCGTATGGGTAAGCTTGCTGGTCGCCCCTGTGTGTGATGCACAGGGACCATGGAGAAGGAGGGCAGGATGCTTACCTGTAACCGTCATTCTTCAGGTTGTCACCTCTGCATTCACACAACCCACCCGCCTACCCCACTGGGTGTCATGAGCAACCTAGCTATTTGTGCTGCACGTGTTTGTCCTTTTGCTGTGAATGTCTCCCATCTGTGGTACCACTCAATAATGCAAGTATGGTTCTGTCACTCCTTAATGTGGAGATGGTACTGCTTCGCTCAATGTGAGGCCAGTACTGCTGATCCCCCTTTGGGCCTGAGGGCACAGGGCAGGCTTGCTGGAACTGAGGGAAATGACGGGAGCCCCTCCCTTTTATAGGGATGCTGGGTTGGGGGAGGCAAGTAAGCTTTTAATAATTATGAAAGAACACGATTGTTGGTGTCTGACATAAAGTGGCAGAGAGGTTAGATATGGGAGTGATACATATTTGCAACTTCCAACACACTACTTGTGCTCCCTGTTCACTCTTTTATTTTTCCAGACTGTACTGAGTAGTAGTAACTATTGCAAATGTTGATACTGGCGTTTCTGGAATGGACCCACCTTTCTGGAAATAGAGAAGAGCAGCTGGCACCAGTTTTACTTCAGAGGCACGGCAAACGATGCATTTCCCGTTCGTATTGTACTTCTTCAAAGATTGTTAAGTGGAATGGTTCTGATTCCAGGGACTCTTCAAAACACTTCACATCTGTAAACCATTAGCATTAAAGTCACTTTCCTCTACATGACACCCTGGGTCAGAAAAGCCGTTGGTGAGAACCAGGGCAGTATAGTGGTCTTGTATCAGAGGCCCAGAGTTCGTTCGTTCGTTCGTTCGTTCGTTCATTAATTCATTCATTTATTTATTTATTAAAACATTTTTATGCCGCCCCATTCGCCGAAGCCTCGGGGCGGCTTACAACATTCAGTGCATGACCAGTATCTCCCAGTCTGGCCTACTGCATAGGGGAGTTATAAAGATAAAATGGGAGCGGAACCATGTGTGTCAACTTAAAATAATAATGATGATCATAAAATAATAAAATAACATAAAAATAAATAGAAGTTGCATCTCTGTTCTTGAGACTACAGTAATTGAATTGTGTATGATACAAGGAGATTTGTTACTCAAAACAGTGAATTTTAACTAACCTTACTGAACTATCCCTAACAGTATCTCCTTCAGTTATTGCTATACTAGGAGCTGAGCAACAGGCCTTAAGTATAGATCACAGCTTTAGAGAAGATGGTGGTTTAGGAATAAGTTTGGGATGAGAAAAGAATAGCACTAAATTGGGGCAGCTGAAGCCGAAACTCTTGCATTCTTCATGTTTCTCCATCTCTGCCTGTGTAGGGCTTAGATGCCGTGTGTTAAAATTATGAAATATATGTTTGTGAACTCAGTCATTGTGCTTGTCGCTTCAATTCAAACCGCATTTTCATGATGGATTGCATGGCAGTTTACTCTTTGTAATGAAATATAGACAATTATGTATTCAAGATGCTTAATATGGATTTAATAAATGCTGTATTCATTTATCAGCAATAGACCCTCCTCATTCTGTTTGGAAAAGGTAAGGCAATTCCTGAATGCCTTTGCATCTCTTGGAATAGAAGTGGTGGTAATCAGGACTGCTAGAAATGCACAAAACCAGTGTGGTGTAGTGGTTACGGGTGTGAGACTGGGACTCAGGTGATCTGGGTTCTAGTCTCCGCTCAGCCATGATACTCACTGGGTGACATTTGGACCAGCCATGGACTTCTAGCCCATCTACCTCACAGAGTTGTTATGGGGTTAGGATGAGATTGAGAGCAGCAGGAGGAGAATGATGTGAATTTCTTGGAAGAAAAATAGGTGGGATATTATATATTTTTTTTTAATTTAATGTTATAATTATTTTTTAACTTATTGTTGTAAGCCGCCCCGAGGCTTCGGCGAATGGGGCAGCATAAAAATGTTTTAATAAATAAATAAATACATACATACATAAATATTTTGAAGTGGAAGTAGATATGTGTAAGTTCAGATGAGCCAGCTTTCCCAACCTGTCACTTTAATGGCAATTCAGACCACTTGGCTATTGTTAGTCATCTGCTAGAACGCCAGAGAGGCTGGCTGATCTTCGGAGATGGTATTGCTTGAGTGGTGTGTCTGCATGCGCACCCAGGACTGAGGTAGAGCTGCCTTGGGGTCTGTCCTGACTGAAAGCCTGAAGAGAAAGTCCTGTGTCTTCCAGATTGCCCTGCTTGAATCTGTGTAGATGGTTGGAATAATTTATTCTTGCTTCCTCTTGCCAGATTAACCAGAATGTAGTCACTTTGGGTGTCATAGAATAGAACCTTGTGTTAAACCATGGAGAGAGGAGGACTTGGGTAGATTTTTGCTTTCCCTCCAGCCCTTTGGTTTTGTCATCAAGTTACTCCCTGGTATAGCCACAGTAAATTTCCAGCCACTGCCTGCTAAATTTGTCAGAAAACCTTCATATTATAAGTCTCTTTTTCCAAGCACACTCCCCTGATTATGCATTATGACTGGTTAGGTGCACAATAACACACCCTATTTTGCAACCTTAGACAAACAGCAACAAGACAACATTTATGGAGCCCTTTGCAAACATGTTTTGTTTTAATGACTCACAAATTGAGCCGGTCTAATTCTAGGTGTATGCAAAAGCTAACTTCATTAGCTGTGGCAAAGCTATCATGGACTGGCTTTCCAATGAGCTATGTACACAGCAATAGATTATGAATTCTTGGAAACTTATTGAGTAAGGATAACATATTTTATCTTGCAAAGGTATGGACTTCCTGGTCTCTTCTCCTGGGAAACTTTAAAATATGCCACACATGGCCATGATCACCCTCTCTTCTCTGACAAAGCTACCTGTGGCAAGGCTGAAATGGTTACTGTTTGCAGAGTCAACTGCTTAAGTGTCAGAAGACAATCCACATGCTTGGTCCACTTCTATTAATATCCTTTCTTCCTTTCACAGGCTGGCAGTGATGGTGAAAGCATAGGCAACTGTCCCTTTTCTCAGAGACTCTTCATGATTTTGTGGCTCAAAGGAGTGGTATTTAGTGTAACAACAGTTGACTTAAAAAGGTAGGAAATGTACAATTTACCTGATCTTTCATTTAATATCTGGTTTTCTGTTTCCTTTGCTATGCAGCAGAATTTTAAATTTTAAAGGAGTTACTTCTGTTAATAACTTTTAGTCATATTTTAGATTATGTATCCGATGTGGTATGCTTCTCCATACCCGTTTCTGGGGCACGTGAATGGGCTTTTGTACTCATGCCCTTCTTTTTGGCTTTCTATAGGTTTATGGCTATCCAATTTGGGAACAGAGCAGTGAACTTCATAGATGTTTAGCCAGATCCAGCACAGCTTTTCACATGTTCTTAGGATTCTAACTGTTCTCCTTGTTACTGACACAAGACAATGTGTGACAAATTGCTTGGTTGTCATCACACTGAAGCAGTATACAGTTCCCTGTGCTCAGGGAAGTTTATAATATACTTCGAAATAATTGCAGCATGCATTTGTATTGGAAGCTAGCAATAATAAAGTTCAGATAGGAAAAAAGTAATGTTGAAACTGTTTTCATAGTGGAGGCAAAGATAAAACAACTTCATTAATAAGGTGCAACTTTTTTTTGTTTATTGGATTATTACAAAGACAAAACACAATGACCTCATTTGTACATAATGCTAATGCATGATTTAATCTTCAAGTTGTTGAATAATTGGCTGTTGTGATATGCAAACCCAGCTGTGCTAATAAAGTTTGTTAACCCTGAATATCCCAGAGTCTGAATCCATGGTTTGCTGTTGGTTTATGAACTCTGGGTTTAAAAAATTGATTTTGTAAGTACAAACTTACTATTCATGCATGCATGCATGAATAGTAATTTTTACAATCCCTTAGTAGTTCTATATATGCTTTAATATGTATGTATAATTTATAGATACATAGAATAGTAGGGTTGGAAGGGGCCAAGAAGGCCATCAGGTCCAGCCCCTGCTGGTGCAGGATGCCAAGTCACCCATCCCACTCAGATTACTGTCCAGTTTTGCCTTGAATCTCTCTAGGGTGGGAGAGCCCACAACCTCTCTTGGCAACTGCTGCAGTGTTTTTCCAGGGATTGATGTTAGACTGACTGGTCTATAGCTCCCTGGTTCATCTTTTCCCTTTCTTGTAGATGGGGACAACTTCAGCTCTTCTCCAGTCATCCGGCGCTTCCCCTGTTTTCCAAGATTTCTTGACAATTATGGATAGTGGTTCAGTGTTTTTTCGTCAGTTCCTTTATGACTCTAGGATGGAACTCGTCAGGTCCTGGTGATTTGAATGCATTAAGTTTATCAAGGTGCTCCATGATCATTTGTCCATTGTTCTTAGGCTGCCATCCTGCCTTTTTGTCTTGGACTTCCTCCCCTGTGATAGGTGGTATTTTCTCTTGTGGAAGAAGAGTGAGCCGAAATAGGAGTTAAGCACCTCTGCCTTTTCCTTGTCACCTGTCACCTTTTTGCTGTCCACATTGAGTTGCTGGATTCCCCTGTCTTTTGTTTGTCTTCTGTTTTGGACATAACTGAAGAAGGCTTTTTTGTTGTTTTTAACAAGCCTCACTAGCCTCAGTTCATAATATAGAAATACTACAGTTATGTTTAAAGATCCCTATTAAAAATAATTCCTGTTATAATAATAGTACAGGGCAGTAAGTTAGAGGAGCCTGATTAGTTGCAATAAATCCTGAGCAAGTGCATTTTGAAGAGGCATTTGAAATATGCCGCATCTTCTGTCTCCCAAATTGCACATGGGTAGGATTTTGAAAGAGTGGGTGCCACCGCAAAGAAGCCTTGCTGTCAGGTTGTGGAATGACCCACAAGGCCTCCTCTGAGTGTCTTAAAGGTTCATTGGTCGTGTCTTTGCCTTAGGTAACGGCGGGCCTGTATGCCCGTAGGAATTATCATGGTCTCAGGTTGCTTAGGGCTTTATGTCAATAACATAGGTTCAGATAGGCAGCAAGTGAAGTTCTTTTATCAGAGGTGTTAAATGAGCATAGCAGTGAATACACCCTGGCTGCTGCATTCTGCATGAGCCGTGGCTTCTAAACCAGGCACAAGCATAACTCCCTATGAAGCACATTGCCGTGGAACCATAGGTTGTTTCACAAGGCTTCAGAGGCAGCGAGCAAGAATGATCAAAAATACCGGCTTCTCTGCATGGCAATATTACCGTTTCACAAAGACCTTTGGGATTTAGAGAAGAAAAAGAAGAAGGAAGCAAATCAGGGACTGAGAAAATATATCAGCGTGTTAGTATACCAGGCAAGCCCTGGTTAGGGTAGCGAACTGTCAGCTTTTAGCCCTTAAATACCCCATGGGTTAGTGTGATGGGTAAACTAGGTCAGTCTGACTTACATTTTTACTGTCCTATGAGTTTCTTACCTACTTAATTATAGTGCATGTAACAATTCCTATTTCCTGAAAAAGGTCAAGATTGTTTTGCTCAGTGGAGAAGTAAAATTGCCTTTAGAAAGCAACAGTGAAACAGGATTTTAGCATAGCTGTGATTAAAAAATGGCACTTCTTTTTCCCTTACCCCCAAAGTTCCCATCAGACAAGAGCTGGATTGCTGTAATTCAGTGATAACCTGGAAATTCCAGCTCCACCCTACAGGATGAGTTACTGGTAGCATTTTCTCAAGCTCACCTGTTTGGAAGCTCACTGGTCCTTGGGCTGTTTTCTTTTTCTTTAGCACTTTCAGGTTTTGACTACGTAGAGAAACCAGTAATTAAAAGAAGGTAGTTCTTCTTCACTGATAGCAAAATTAGCTGAATGCCCTATAGAGGGAATGATTATATGTTTATCAGGAAAATAGCTTAAACAGGTGTGGCTTAGCAATCTTATTTATGCTTATTTATGACTCCACTGAATGTGATTACTGTATGATATTGAAGATTATCTGAGTTTATCTGCTGTGCAGTTTAATGCAGGTTTATTACTGCTCTTTTGCTGAGAAGTATATGGCCTTCAAAATGTCCTAGGCTCCTACTGGTATAAAAGTTCAGAGGGAAGAAGCTGTGGAGCACAGGAAACTTAGAAACTTACTGTTCTGCAACACGTATTTTCCTTTGTATGATCTTGTTAAATATAGCTTGGTGCCAACAGGAGGATATTTCCAGTCCAGTTCTCCTAGTAGCTATGGACACAAGCAAAAAATACACATGGGCTAAATGGGGACATGCCAGCCTTTTCTATCTACTGAATGTTTATGTTTTCTGCCTTCCTGCAGTCACTAAAGACAGAGGCTTCATTCTTTTCCCTCTTCAGGAATGCAACTTGTGTCAGTGTGCAGGAATTAGATGTCTTTTGTTGTTGGCTAGAGCAGTGGTGTAATATGCAGAGTGGAACTTGTCTGAGAAAACAAAGCTTCTGGTTTTGGTTTTTCAAATGTTGTTTGAGAAGTATGTGGCAAAATCTGAGCCAGTGTTGTAGGGAAGCTCCTCAGAAGCTGGAATTCCTCAGTTGTTAATGCCCTCTGGGAAAGTTTGCATGGCAAGCTACCCACAGTTTCTAGGCTTTCCCAGCTGCAGCAGGAGATAGTGCCTGTGGTATTTTAGGGTACATGTAGCTTATGCGTGGCAAAATTTAAGGACAACAGACCTAGGCAGCACCTCTGTCTAAGTGAACTACCAGAATCTTTTGCAAGGAACTGGGATTCCAGAGCAAATATATTGTATATTTTAACTTATTGGTTTTATTTATTGTTGTAAGCCGCCCCGAGGCTTCGGCGAATGGGGCGGCATAAAAATGTTTTAATAAATAAATAAATAAATAAAATACATGGGGTTTTCTCAACAGCCAAATAGAGTTCCCTGAAGGGAACTTTGAAAATCACTAGGCTAACATATTGAGCCCATTTAAATGTTAACACTCAGTTCCTGGAACTGGTGTGACTGCATGTTGGATCCATTGTATGTTCTTGGGTTAATTTTGGGTAGTTTAATACCTAAGTGACCCAGAATCCTGTGTTCAGATGTCATGAAACAACTTATGAGCAAGTTGCATTGGAAAGTTGAAGTAGCAATTGTTTCTTCATGGATGTACTAACTCTTGTGGACTATGTCCTGAGAACTGAGTGATAAGTGCAGCCAGGTGCAATTTTGTGCATTTCGATTGGTAATGTTACTGAATGAATGAGCAGAAGTTGGAGGTTGGAAACAAATCCCTTTGCAAACAACTGTTCAGAAGTTAAGGCATGGTTGTAATAGCTCAACCCATATAATTACTCCCTGATGCTACTACTACCACTGTTACCTACCCAAGCTTAAGCAGCAGTAGGGGGAGATCCTCTTGAGCCTCTGGGATGGTCAGGGACTAAAGGAACTGCATCTTGTGCTTGATGACTTGGGGTTGCCAATCTCTGTGGACTAATGGGAGGCCAGCCATGTCCAGATAAGTGTGTATGGTAAGGAGATGGGAGGGAGAGCTGCATTGAGCGAAGGAGACAAGACAAGTTTCAACAAGTTATTTTGTACCCATTCCAAATTGAGCCTGAAGAACTTAACCATTACTAGTTCAATGTATGTTCCATCCTGTTCTGTAGGCTTCAGAAAACCCTCTGGCCAGTCTGCTCAGCCATTCATCCAGTGAACGTTAAGCACACTAAGTAATGAACGCTAGAATGACCAACAGCAGTGCCACTCCCTCCTTGGCAGACTGGAAAAGATGGATGTTCTTTTTTACCAGAAGTATTTATAGCAATGTTCCATGGAGCTAAACAGTCTCCACCATAGGCACATGGAGCTTGCTTTTGTCCTCTTTTGGCCAAGTTAGACTTTGCTCAGAGCCTGGCAAAATACCAGGGGCTTAATTATTAGATACCAACAACTGACCTTTCTTTCTCTCCTCCTTCTCCGTTGCTTGATGAGAACAAGTGTGGCGGTGAGAACAGAGTGGACAGGAGCAGTCCAGGTTCAAAACCCTGCTTGCTTAATGGAGCCCTTTGGGTGGTTTTGAGCAAGTAAGTCTTGCATGGGGGAATCTGTTTCCGTGGGCTTTTGAACTATAATGGGCTGGTTCACATATAATGGCAACCAAGACAACAGGCTGAGTAACTTGGGAGGCCACACATAATGACAGTCGAGGACGTAGATTTTTGTAAGTGCTTGTTGAATCGTGGGCTGTTGTGAACTCATGGGTTATTAACCGCAAACAGCCCAGCACTTACAACCTAACAAACCATGGATTTTCTTGCTCATGATTAATAAACCTAAGTTAATCCCTAGTTCAGGGTTTGCATGATGACAACCCATGACTCAAACATGCAAATAAGGTCAGTGGGTTATTCCCTGTATCTCCTACCTCCTCCTGTGTTGCCCAGAGCAGCATGGGATGAGGGCAGGAATTAAGTGTTAGCTCATCTACACCTAGAAGCAAGGGGTACAAGCTTCATCTATGCACGGAAACCATATGAGTTCAGTAGCTGCAATGCAATGCAGTAATTTGGGGTTGCTGTTATTTTTTAAATTTCATTTCTGTATCATCCAAAAGCCAAAGCTTCCTTTGGCAGTTTTGGCAGGCAGTTTACAATAGTTCATTTAGGCCAGGAGTGGAATTTGGTTTTGTCTTGTTTTACTAGTTCCACCAGCTAGAGCCTGGTGCAAAAGGCACATTCTTAGAAATTAAGCAATTCTGAGCCCAGGAATTTTTTTTAATACCAGAATTGAATGAAGCTCACAGTACTCCTGACAGCTATAAGTTTTCTTAATTTCAGCACTATAATTTAGGAGTTGTGTGTAGCTGTTTTATTTCATTTCATTTCTGTATCGCCCAGTAGTTAAGTCCTCTGAGTGGTTTACAGCAGATCCTAGAAACAGGGACATAATATGAAAAAGCAACCATACATTTTTTCATATGGCAAAATTTAAAAACAGTTGCATTTACAAATAATTTAGCCTCAGTAGGGAGATCATTCCACATCTGGGGATCACCACTGAAAAGGCCACCCCCCCCCTAAAACTACCCTCTCAACCTACCTTGCAGGTAGCACTTGGAGGAAGGCCCCAGATGTTGATCAGTGTGTGTGTGTGAATTGAGATTGGAAGAGGCATTCCATCAAGTACTGCACTCCTGAGATATGTAAGGCACTAATAGGTTATGCATTATAGGACTCTGTCATGAGAGCATATAAGGCAGCCAGGGCAAGCAGGCTGAAATGATGTAATGTGCTCAGACCTTCTGGGCCCAGGGATTAGCCTGGGTGCTGCATTTTGCACAAGCAGCAGCTTCTAAGCAGTCTTTGAGGGCATTGCCATGTAGCGTACATTGCAGTAATCTAATCTGAGAATGATTGAAGCCAAGCTATCTCTTTTGCTCTTATTGAACAATTGGGAGAAAGACATCCTTCTCAACTTATGAATCAGAGATTTACCTCCTTTCTAGCCCTTCCTTAAGCTGTGCCCACACCATTCATAATTTGCAATGTGGGTGGCATTTCTGTTGAAACAGTTGGGCATGAAGTTGTGTGGCAAAGCAGAAGCTTAAGTAGCTTACCGTCATGGAAAGTTGTTTTAAGAAATATTATGAAGATCAGGTCTTCCAGGCACAAATGGCATACACCAGTATCTGTAAGCAGGCTTGTACAAATATTGTAACTTTTTTGAGGAGGTTGTCAGGCCTAAATATTACTTCCTGCTCTTGGAAGAACATCCCTGTGCCACGTATTTGAAGCAAATTATTCAGGCCAGTTTGTCTGCCATCTCCCTGTGTATGTGCTCCACCTTAGCCATCTTAGTCAGTATATGGGCTGTTTCTGGAGCTCTCTCTCTCTCTCTCTCTCTCTTTCTCTTTTTTTTTTTTGCTGTGCTTCTACTTACTGGAAAAAGTGTCACATGCAGCCTAACCTTCTGGTATTAAACTGAAAGCCACCATTGGCTGTAGTTTCTGTTGATGCAGTGACTTCATAGGTATCATTGGCATCTCTCTAGTGCACGCCCTACATACTTTCTTTTGGAGAGTAATGTGGAAATCCAGTTCAAGGACTGGTTTGGGAATGCAATCCTAGGCATCCCCTCTTTAAAAAGCAGTGCATCAAAACAGTTGTCTGTTTAAAAAGTCTGGCATGCTTAAGCATCTCATGTGTGTTCCCAGAAGTTCACTTTGTATATTTGGACTGGTGCAAACATGCAGAGTAGAACTACTGGCTGGAATGGGAAGCAGAGAAGGGAAATGAAGCCGGCATGGGACTGACTAGGCCTGATGCAGCTAAGGGGGATTGTGCCAGCAGCTGGTTTTAACATGCCTTCTTTTGGTGAGGGAAAGATCCATAGTGTACCAGAAGGTTCACGCCCACGTCTCAGAACTTCCTTTTGGCAGTTGACAAAGGTTTGGTCTTGCCTGCTCTGAGAACAGAAAGTGACTTTCACAGTCAGTAAGTACAGTTTGACATATTTGACTTAAACTATTTTTTCCCTAAAAGGGACATTCTCAAGCCAATGGAAAAGTTGGAATGGAGCCACTCTAGTAATTTCCTGTAATTATTGTGGGTGTGCACAGCAGTGTTTTAATTGAAGCTTAAGCTGCTTGAGGTATGTAACTGACTCACAATTCTCAGCAGCTTTTGCAGAAGGACAAATTAGGGATGCGTGATGTGCGTACGCAGTCTGGGGCAGGTTTGCAACAGTTGGGGTTTCATCAGCTGGATAGTTTCTGCTGTCAAACAGAAACAGGAGATACCGAAGTAGAGAGAACAGTGGGTTTGATGCAACATTGCCTGCAGTTCATCTAACATGAACTTGTATGATTAGAATATTAAAAAGGTCCTTTCTTGCTTGATATGACTCAGATCTGCAATTTAATATTTAGCATTTGGCACATTGATTTTGTTAAAACCCCTGCTGTATTTTTTCTTCAAACTTCTATGCAAACTAAATGAAAAAATATCAAATTGAACCTGAACTTAGCACCAGAGGCGAGACCTGTTTGTCAGCTGTGATGCCTACCTAAGTCTTCTGCCACAGATGGCATATAAATATAATAAAAACATAAGTCAGTGGGCCACAATCCACTAAGGTTCTCATGCAAGTGCTGTTGAGATTGAAGGGGACTGTGAAAATCCATCTATCCAGCATTCCTGGCCTTTGTTAAATCCACATGGATCCTCATAGAGCGGATGTGGTAAATGGTGGATTTTGACTGGCCCATATTGTCAAGTTTATACATGGTGACAGTACCACCTTAACTAACAACAGTTAAATCATAGCCACAGTCCAGGAATTACAGTGGTTGCCCCCAGCCTTTTTGTATTGGTGGGCACATTTGGGGTTTTGAGGGTGTTGTGCACGCTCTCACAAAACGGGTTTGGTCAGTACTTCACTGAACCGCAACCACAGTGTCACAAATCCTTCGTTTTCCAGCTCCGGAAAGCTATAATTTTTCAGAAAGCAAATTGGTGAGACATTTAAAAAAATTCCCAAAGATCTCTGTGTTTGGGGGGGGGGCGGTCTGAACTCCAAAAGAAAAAATACTCCAAATAAAGATAAAGATACTCCAAACAAAGTTGATATTGGAGGGCTGTATTTTTGCAGCATCCCAGGTTTTTTTTCCCATCAAAGCTAAAGCAATAAAAGAAAGCGGGGGGCAGCACTGTGTATTTAAAGTATATTCTATTTAAATATATACTGTATCCTATTTCAGTGGCCCAGGGCAGCTTCCTCATGTTGTTCCCCCTTCCCAGCATCTTTCCCACTTTTTCTGCTGTCCCTTAGAATGGTTGTTTACATATGTTATGTCTCAAGTGTATCAAAACACAATACTCAGAATGGCTGCTTCTGTCTTTTCACTGCATTTAATGGAACATTGCCTTGCCCCCTCCCCATAGTCTGTTGAATTCCCCTCTGTTCTTAAATAGTTGCAGCTTCTTTGATGTCCTTGTGTAGTTGCAGGAGGCTGATTCTCCTGTGTCTGCAATGGGGAGTCTGGGCTGCTTTCCCCTGCGGGCCCAACTGCACTGCACTCTCCTGAAAAGTGTTGCCAAACAAATCCCGACTTGCCCTGGCTGATGAAATTGTTCTGAGCAAGGAAGAGCTGCTCTGTGTGCAAAAAGATCTTAACTCCTGGGACAGAGTGTTGTAGTTGTTGTCTTACAAGGAGCACATTTGAGGAATAATTATGTCTCCAAATCTGGTAGGATAACCTGCTTTTGCAGTTTATGCTGAGTCTGTTACAACTAATAGTACGATCCCCATCCCTGAATTTATCTGCATGTCAGCCTTGTGTGCCCTGTACTTCCTGCAAAACAGGGAAGAGGAATACTGAGCTTGAAATGTTTGGGCAGGACACATACTGTCCACACAGTGTGGTTTTCATGGCACCTCCTAGATGGAGTCATCAGTGGTTAACTTTGGTTTAGGTGAGAAAGAATCCAGCCAGCCAGAGTTGTGGCTCAGCCATGAAACAGGAGATACACACAGGCATCACTTTGTTATATATCTTAAGAAATGGATCTTGAGATGCATGACAAGATAGGTGTGGGAAGTGGTATAAAAAGAGCTTATGTGAATAGGTGGAACATTCCATAGATAATGCAGATACACAGAGCTGGGCATAGTAATCCAAGCCATTTCTAACCTGGGTTTGAAGATCTGTTAATTCAGGTCCCTAAAGCAAACCTGTGCAGCATTTTGTTGATTCACTTTGTAAACTTACAGCAAACCCTGTAAATTTGCTGTGGAGCCCTCCCCTACCTTGGGTGCCCCTTTTTGCATTAAAGCTACATCTGTTTGCCACAATTTAGGATTCTCCTTTATTTAAGATGCTACATGGTAGCCATGTGTTGCTAGCATGAGCCATGATGACCTGACTAGAATTGCTCAACATACTGAATGTTTGTAATGTAAACAGAATTCTGTTTACACCACAGGAAGCCTGCAGATCTTCAGAACTTGGCTCCAGGAACCCACCCACCCTTCATAACATTTAATAATGAAGTGAAAACTGATGTGAACAAGATTGAAGAGTTCCTTGAAGAAGTTCTCTGCCCACCCAAGTAAGTGTCATCAGAGAGAGCGACTGTGGTGTTGATTATCATCATGTACTCTTTACACCAGGTCTGTTGTGTCAAACTGTTTTTTTGGGTAGTAGAAAAGTCAGCTGTACCGGTTGAAATGATAAGGAGAATCCTCTGTTAAAGGTTTTTTGTAGTATGCATGCATGATAGGTATTTATTTATTTATTTATTTATTTATTAAAACATTTCTATGCTGCCCCATTCGCTGAAGCCTCGGGGCGGCTCACAACATTAAGTTAAAATGTTTGTAAAATACAAACATTAAGTTAAAATACAAAAAATAACAATATAAAATAAGTCGCCCTGGCCAGATAAAATCAAATAATATTAACAATTAAAATGACGCTTAAATAAAAAGGTCTTCGCCTGGCGCCAAAAAACAAATAACGACGGCGCCAGGCGGACCTCTCTGGGGAGCGCATTCCATAGATTAGGCGCCTTCAAACCCAAGTTGACATCCAGGTATGGAACCACAAATAATTGGGGCAAGTGTGATTTCTTACCATTCACCTGGTGAACATTTTCCTATCTCTTTTATTATTAAGGGAACAAGTACACTTTTCAGGTAAGGTGATTCTTTTTGTTAAGTTTGCCTGCCCTTTCTGATTAGACTGCATAGGGAATTTAGGTCTTTGTTTCGTAGTTGCGCTTCTTAATGTGTCAGTTTCATAATGTTAACTGGGAAGAAAAGCTTTGGATCCAAAACAACTTTGCATTACCAAGTATTAACACGGTGGATAAAAATAAATGATTTTTTAAAAATCAGATTAAAAATAAATAAATTTGGCTTTTTTATTTAAGCTAGATTTTTAATTTAAATTGTATTTTAAAATAATAAAATGCTTTTTGAAGAAAATCTATCTCAAGATAGTTTTCTAAGATACATTATAGTCCTACGGTTATTCATCATGAAATATGGATTAGTTTTTAATTATGTAGCATAATTGAAGCATAATATTGTAATATTGCAAAATATTCAAGCAAACTTTAAATGTTTTGGTAAATGAATTCCATTAATCCATTCATAATGTCATGTTCTTCCAGAGTTTCTGTAAGATTATTGAGCAATTATTCTATCTAGAAGATATGATCACAGATGCTTGGTTTTACGGTTCTCAAAACTGTGAATTAGTGTCTGCAGAGACCACCTGCTTCTTTTCCACAGCAAAATGTTTTAAACTAAACCTACAGAGTTGACAAAAAGAACTTAATCCCACTATTTATTTTCAAATTGATGTACACAGAATCAACTTCTTAGTTCAGGTTTCAAACGATTAAATGAATATAAGGTGAAATAGATCTGCACAAAAAGCTAAGTGGGAGGAGGGAGGGGCAAGCAGTAAAAATGAAAGTGAAACCTTTTGAGCAGAATACTCCAGGAGTCTTTGGATCCTTTTGTGTATAGCCTCAGGACTATCACATCCTTTCCCTGGAGGAGAAAACCTATAATGACAGCAGGCTGTAAAAGAGACCCAGTTTAGGAATATTTTTATGAAGTTCCTCTACCCATGGGTAAGGCAGGAATGCATGCTAAACAATTATCTCACTGACTAGTGACTTAAATTGTGATTTAAATCTATTTGATTTAAATGGAATCCACCCTACCCCATACCGATGCCAGTCTGCTGCTTTGCTGTTATCCTTGACTCACTCTTTCCCCTTCAGTTCCATTTCTCCCCAGTATATTTCACATCCTGCTGTGGGCTACTATGCATTTGGCGTTTCTCCTCCCCTTTTGCTAATGTGAGTGGGGAGGGGATCAGGATGTCAACACTTAGGAAAATGTGTCTCTCATCTGCACATCATTCATCATTAGACGTACCAGACTATGGCCAAGCAGGTCTTTCAGGCAGAAGGAACGTTACAGTAGGAGGAGGGGCCAGAGGGCCTTGATGACTACCAGGGACCTGCTGTCCAAAATTCTACACAACAGCAGTGCTACTGATGCTGCTCTTGCTTGGGGTAAAGCCAAGCCCATTCCTCCGTTTGAAGACTTACTTTCCCGGACAACTTCTCTTAGCATTTTCCTCAGCCCTGTCATGTAAAATGTTGCCTGAGTTAACAAACCATCCTTTCACCACAAATGCGGGATGTCTTCTCAGCACAATTCTACAAAGATGCTTGCAACTGGCAGATACATGATTTAAAAAGAAAATCTGTTGAGACCCCCTGAATTCCTCCTGACCGCTTGCTGAGCTTCGGAGGGACTTGGAACATAGTAGGGCACTTCCCTGCTGGTTTTGCTGGCCTTTCTGAGGCTTACAGGGTCCCAGATATTCCTGCACCCCTGCTGTTCTGGCTCAGGGGAAGGGCAGTGGGTGTCTCCCAGACCTTGCACTGATGTTTGCAGGGTAGCTGGATTCCTGTGACAATCCTGCTAGCTTAGGGATCAGGTGTTCCAGTATCTTTGGAACTGCTTCAGTGCATAGAGAGTCTACTTTCCCGATCACCCTGAACTGAGAGGCAAAGGCACAGCCTGTGCTCAGGGTTGCTTCCTAAGAACATTATGCGTAGAACTGGGTTGGTGGTAACGGCAGACTGCAGCTGGCTACGGAGGCCAGCCCCAATTTGTAGACCATGTTAAAGATTTTAAGGCAGGAATTCAGTGCCCTAGTTAATTATGCTTTGTAAATAATCCACCATCTCACAATTAACCAATCTGATTTCTGGGCCATATTGAATCCCAAGTTGAAGTCAGCTTTGAATTATTACTTTCTTTGGGAAGAAATATCAAAATTTCCATGGTTTAGGTATATCTGTACAACTTGCAGCATTCTGAAGCATAATTCCAGTGCTGGTCTAAACGTAATTCCAAGGATCTGTCAAAAATATGAGCATATTTGGTGCTCTGAACCAGCATCAAGAGGAATTGATGTTAAGTAGCTCTTCATGTGTCTGAATAGCACCCATTTAAATATTACTTGGAGAGCTGAGCTCCAGGCACGAACTTCACAAATCTGTGGAATTCATAAGGACCGAACCGGCATTTCCAAGCTGCAACAGTCTTCGTTTAATGTAATCAGTCACTGCTTGCTTTGGCAACATTTCAAATGACTGCTGACACTGCAAATGAATGGCTCCTCTGAGTTCAGGCAGATGGAATTCTCCCCACATCTGGTTTGGGAAGAGCCCCGGAGTGCTGTGTTTGTGTCTTCCGTCGCTTAAAGCTGGGATGGTTAGTGGCGATGCTGCATGCATCTCGTTTCCACTTGGAGAAAGAAGGCTGCTGTGCTCCTTCCCCAAGCTGGTGAGAGCGCCGCAACTCTCTAGCCATGCCTTTTACCTGGCCTGCCACCTGGAAGTTGGGAATGGCAGCTTGCAGAGAATGGTAGCATGCGTTCTGGCACTGGAAAAGGTTGCTCCAGTGGAGGTGCCTCAGATCGGAAATGGGCCTAAGGCAACGTCATTAGCTGCTAGAGTTGCTGTAGGATTGGAGGAAGAAGCAATGCCCTCTATGAAGGCAGAATTAAGTAGCTAAAATGATTGCCAAATGGGACACCAGCAGTAAAGTTAATACTTTGTAGAATATTATGCACCTAAGTTGTACATTACCTTGTTGTAATCTAAATCACACTGTAATTTAAATACATTCCTCTTCAGGTATGCAAAACTTTCACCAAAACATCCAGAATCAAACACTGCCGGAATGGACATCTTTGCTAAATTTTCAGCCTTTATCAAGAATTCCAGGCCTGAAGCAAATGAAGGTAGGGCATGCATTCTTTGCTTTCGTGTGTTTTATGGTATCTGTTTGCTGGTTACCTGTACCTGGCTCTCCTTATTCCTACTGGTGCAGGGGCACAGTTTCTCATCTGCTCCTGTGCTCCCAGGCAAGGCATCTTTCCTAAGAGCAGCTGTAAGTTATGCACAGAGCTATAACTGAACCCTGATACTGTTGCTTTTGTAGCCGCTGCTGTAGGAGATGAGATGTAGGGAACAGGAAGAATTCCTGCATTTTCTCTGCTCCATTTCAACCAAGCTGCTTTTGCCCTATCATGGACTTACAAGCACTGCTTTTCAATCCTTCAGGAGGAAAATGGCTGGGAGAATGCATAATTGGGAGTTCATGAATAGACAGAGCAGAGTTTGGCTTATCCCCGGCACATTACTGTAAATAGTCTCCTGCCAATCCAGCATTTCAAAAAGTGGAGGCAGAAGCCAGTGGCATTTTGTTAAGTGTATTCACTTCAAGCTTTAGTAAGAGTTCTGAAGGATATAAGCTTCTAACCCTTGAGTATTCTCTGATAAGGGATGAAGTGGGCAATGCCATTGCGTGATGGCATTGTGACCAGCATGTGAAGCGCTGCCCAAGCGAAGCCATGCGTAATGGGGACTTCATCTGAGAGGTGCGCATTTCTAGAACATGGCCAGAGCCCTTCTAACTGCTGTCTGGGGGCAAATGGGCGTGGCTATTGCTGTGCACCTCAGGTATAAATTTTGTGAAGCATTTGCTGGCCAGTGCTGGAGGTGGCTTGGTGTGTGTGCCTGTGTGTTTCTTTATTCAAATTATATGCCATACTTTAAGCTGTAGGTTCCCTGGCTGGCTAACACAAATGTCTCTGGGCCTTCGGTTTGATGCAGCAAGGCAGCTAGTGCTTATCGCAACACTCAGCCTGTTCCTGACTTGGTGGGCTGAGACCTGTGTGTGTGCACTTCCGCAACCAAAGCTGAAGCACCTACCACCCTAGAAAGTGGATCCTTGGTATTATCAAGGACAGCAGAATGGAAAATGCATCTGTCAGAACCCCTTTGCCAAATTTATCTGGTGGCACAGGCCAATTAAAATGAGCGCAAGTTGCACAGAACCCTGGAAATCCTTGAATCCTATGTGTGTTTTGTACACAGCTGTTTCCTACATTAGATGCTCACTTTGTGTAGTCATGAGCAGCCAGTCACTTGTTGTTTTCAGTGCCTAATTTATATTTATATCTGCTTTTGCATCTGTAAATAGGCTTTCTTCATTAAGGATGGCCCTGTAATAGCTATGGCTGCAATCTCTACCTGAAAGAGCTTTGAACAAAGGCACAGCTGTTTCTTCAGCATCCTTTGATTTATAATTCAGGGCTTTTAACATACAAAAGAGATGTGCAAGCTGTGGGCATGAGCACATGAGCTTTTGGGGACTCTGCAGACAACAGTGGCCTGTTAAAGGCAAAAAAAAAAAAAAAATGGTCAAAGCTGCTAAAAAGGATGGAGCCTGTCATATTTGCTCAAACACCCTACAACAGCCCTTCTGCTGTTGCTCTCTGCAAGCAGTTGTGTATCAGGAGAGACATTTGTGAGATTTGTATTCAGTAGCATATGTTTGCTAGGGTAGTTTTTAATGTTCTCATGAAACCAGAGTGGTTGTTTTTCAGGCGTGTGTTTGCATTTGCAGTGTAATGACCTGCTGCTAGTCCCTGACAGCTGTAAGTGGGGCTCATGCTGGTTCTTCTCACTGGGCTTGCTCTACAAAGATTATTAGGTTATGGAAAGGAACACCGTGTTGTACTGGAACAGATTGATTGCTGAGCATGGTACAGATTCAGCGTCAATAGCAGTTTCTTAGAATCCTTTGCTACATAAGCAGGCTTTGTGCTTATGGTGCCTTGTGCAGATTACAATCTCCAGAGCACACAAAGGATGTGCTGAAAGGATGGAGGAAATCTTTTACAACTTTTCTGTGCACCGCAACTGTGAATCTGAAAAAGATGATGTAATTTTGGATTGTCTTGAATAGGCAGAAATCCAATGAAAAATGTCTTCCCATGTCTGAGCAGTGTTTGGTGGTGCCTTAAAGGCAAGCAAGCTTATTATAGTCTAAGCTTTTGTAGCCTGGAGCTGCCTTCATTAGATGCATAGAATGTGATCATCAGCTTATACATATGTGCAAAAGCAGAGGTATGGGCATGTATGTGGTCATATCCAGATACAGAAAATGGGGAGGGGGTGGGGGAGGGGGAGAAGGAATCATGAAATATGTTACATGAGCATTTGGCCCCATTGTTTACAACTTCCCCATTGCTATTTGAATCTTTTCAGCTGAAGATAATATATCACAAAAGCTTCTGTCACAGTAGGTCCGTTTTTAAGACTTGAGACTCTTCTTGACTGGGCTTTACTATAAGGAATGGTCAAGCATCTGGACATTCATACAACTGTATTTTATATTTAGGGATGTTATACTCTGTGCAAAAAATAAAATTAAAATTTCATGCTAATTAAGCAAACAATTCAAATTTACATTTAGCGCTGTTTAAAAATGCTCCTAAGAATAAAGTTCTTAAGAAAACAAAAGGAAAGGGGACAGATATACAGTGGAGGTAGAAATCCACCAAGCAGTAGCTTGAAGGTAGGTTAGTGCACTGGATTTTTGAGACTTAGTTGGGTTGCTGATAGATCTGCCAAGCTGAGATTCTCAGACGCTACTGTGTGCTGTACATTTCACACACTGATCATGCCAGCAGACCCTCTCTCTCTTACTGGTGTGAGAAACCCGTGGCCTTCCTGATGCTTTGGTGCACAACTCCCATCAGCCCTAGCTAGTACATCCATTGGTGTGGGATCATGCATGTTGCAGGGCCAAAACATTTGGAAGGCCCCAAGTTGCCCACCCTTACTTAGGAAGCCTCATTTTTTACTCAAATTTACCTTGCTGAAGCATTACCCTGTCATCTTGTCATCAGCAACCTCTGGAAAAAGATGCTTCTCTCAGACATGTCTCTAAATATCTAGTATCAGCATTTATTTCCTTCTAGGAGAAAAGTCTCTGCCTAGGGAAAAAATCTCTGCATGCTTAAGTTCCATTTCTGGAACAAGCCAAGGCAGTTTGCAAAAAGTTAGAGAACAAAAATCACAACCAAAGACATAGTAAAGCATTAAAAACCACCTTAAACCACACGAACTATTTTTTTAAGCCAAATTATAAAGATATGTTTTGATTTATTCCTGAATGCAGTGAGAATGCGGACCATGTAACTCCAAAGCAAGTGCATGCTAGAGTTTGGGAACAATGCAGGAAAAGGTCTTTTCCATGTGCCTAACACATGGGCCTTTGTAAGTCAGGAGTCTTCAAAAGGACCTTTCTTTTAAGTCAAGTAATTTATTATGCTCAATTGACCAGCATGTAGTCAGACAAACAATTATTAAGCCAAAAACAAATAGTGGAATGAATAAGGTGCAGCCTCAGGTCAGAGACACTGCTGCACAAAGTTTAGTATCATAAGAGGGCAAGTGTTTTTACATCAGAAAGAAGTAAATGAACATTAAAAGCATCTGGATGTCCTAGCAAATTGAAAAAGATAGGTTCAATAAAACCTTTTGGTATATCCTGATAAAAAGGGCTATACAAAAGGACATGAGTCACTGTTTTGATCTCCTCTGACTCACAAGGGGGCTTTCTTTTAGTGCCCCTTGCTACCTTAACACCGAGATTTCCTAGGGCACCTTACCAGACTGGACTAGAGAAATCTGCCTGCAACTTCACCTACAATGAGTAGGTAAAACCAGATTACCTGCAAAGATTTAACATAACAAAGAAATGTCAAGTGTCAGGTCAGTTCACTGTGCTGCCCTTGGCAACCTCAAATTGACACAACTTGGTGCACCGACCTATAGATCTTAGATTATGTTTCATGCCCTCTTTAAAACAGAACAAAAACAATGAGGTCCTTGTCAACTAGGTCGTACACTGTTGTCCAGTTTTGGGGTTTCATTTGAAATGTCCTAGAGGAACATTGCTTATCCTCTTACTGCAGGATTACATAAATGTCTCTAACCCCAACATTCTTCCTGCAGTGTGAAAAGGGAAGAGAAAAACTCTCTTGCAGTCCTGTAAGAACTTTGTTGGATCAAGATTGCCCTCTGCTGTTACTCTGCTTTAAGAATGAAGACAATGCAGTTGTTGAGCCTGCGCAGAGAATCTAGTTTTTCCGTGCTTGGCTTTAACAGGGCTGAAGGGCTGTTCTTTTAGATTGCACCTAAAATAAACAAGTTATGGATTTTATGCTTTGATTGTAGCTTGGTCTTTTCTAGTCAAGGGCCATCTAAGGACAAAAAGGAAAACCGAAGGGGTGGTGATAGAAGCAGAAGCATCCAAAGGGAGCACCTGGGATCATTAATATTCCTTTTATAGGACAGCAGCATGGATCCTTAGCCTGACATTAAAAAGACAAACTTTAAACACCTGATTTACAGGTTCACAGTGGCTTGCAGAAACCTTATCAGTACAAATGAAAGCAGTGGCAATGGAGAAACTCATGTTAAGAAATCTGAAAGAAAAGGAGATGGCAAAATTATCCTGTGTTCGTCTTCCTGTATCCCTATGCCAAGGCTGTAATCCTGTTTGGGGCTTTTACTCCCAGAAGCCCCAACCAGCATGAGCAGTGGTGGTCTGTAGGTGAATGTGCATGGTTTTAAGGAAAGTTGCTTTGCATTGTATTTCCTTTTGTTCTCATTTCTTTGCGTGGTGCTTTGGGACCCTTTTTGGTTGTGTGTTGTGCTGCATAAATAGAATCAGCAGACTGCCTCTGGTAGGCCATTGCATAGCCCCTGGACAGAGACTTAGGAAGCCAGCTCTTTGTTGAAGATGGCTTGACAGGTACGGGCCACCTGGAACGCATCTCCACTGGTGATGCAAGTTGCACAGAAGGGAGAGGTGTGTGTTTGGGCATTGAGACCTCAGGCTGTGATTGACGCATTCTGTCTTGCTGGCTTTCCGGCTTCCATTTCCGCTGGCTGACACAGCTGCCTCTTTACTTCAGGCTTGGAAAGGAATCTTCTGAAAACACTTCAGAAGCTGGATGACTACCTGAATGCTCCTCTCCCAGATGAGATTGATGAGAACAGCATGGAGGATGTCACGACTTCCACCCGCAAGTTTCTGGATGGAGACGAGATGACACTCGCAGATTGCAACCTGTTGCCCAAACTCCATATTGTCAAGGTATGTGGAACTTGGTTTGAGGAGCAGTTCACAACTCCACATTTGGTGCATAGTAACACTTAGCTGAATGTGAACTGCCTTCAGTAAAGTGTGTATTGCAAACATTTTGTTGGGTAGCTTCACCAGGACCAGTCACTTCCCCATCACCATCATCTACCGAGAGGGACAGTAGCTTAGGGCATGCCCTGCATAAGTCTCAGGTGCAGTGCACAGCAGGTTAAAAGAAAATCTTTTCTTCCTGAGACCCAATGGAGCCCCTGCAGGCAGAAGACAATGTGGAGCTAGAGGGACTAAGTCTGCTCTGAAATAAGGTACGGAGGGGTGTGGCTACTGTCCACCAAACCGTCCCAGGAAATGTTCCCACATGACAACAGTGCAGCATGAGTGCCTTCAGACTGCCACCCCCTCAGCTGAAACTGCTCACAGGCCAGCTCTGTGATGTACAAAATGTGCTGTGCCAAGAACCTGTCAAAACAGGCTCCACAATGGTTGTGGCAACCATGAAGTCTGGCCTGGTCCTCCGGTATGAATATCACAATCCCTGAAAACAGCCGACCTGATGATTTCCAGCACCATGCCGGGCACCACCGGACACTAATGGGTGCACCAGTCCTCCAAGGCCCAGCACCAGCTGTTCTGAGTAGATTGGTCTCCTGGAGAAGGAGGTGGATTCCGCATGGATAACAGCAACCTCACTGCCGAACCCTCCAGACAATGGTCTTGCTGCATGGCCCACCAGGAGGGGAAAACTGAGCATGTTCCCCAGGTCTCGGCACACATCAAGTGGACCCCTCCACTCTACCTCAGAAGTGCAGTGGCAAATTAAATTTAAAAGTCAGTTTAAAATAGAGACGTATTGAAATGTGGTCAGATTCAAGCACAGTTAGGCCAAAGTGAGCTGGCAGAGATAGGCGGCCTGGACATCCTGAGGAAAGCTCACGGGTAGGCACAGCTGTTCAAGAAGGTCTGCAGTGCAAGCGCTGTTGTAGTGAATAAATGCCCCTGCAAGTGAGTGGATGGTGCAGTGCCCTGAATGCTGGGGCCGGCCAGCCTCTCTGACCAGATGTGTTGGACTGTAGCTGCCAGCATGCCACTGGCCGGCTCAGATCCTCACTTGCCCGTCTTGGGACAGTAAAATGGGTGGGATGAGAACCACGTACGTCCATCGCAGAAAAGTAGGACCAGAGCACGGTGGTGGCTTCGTTTCGGGGACGCTTGTGTGGGAAGCCTTCCAACTGGGTTATGCACCATGTCTGTGTGGGCTCCCTTTTGTTTTCTGCCTCCCAAAAAGAAATGTTGGGACTTGTTCTGTTTGCTGTGAACACCACGTAAAAGCGGTTTCCCCCTTCCTTCGACTCTAGGTGGTGGCTAAAAAGTATCGTGACTTTGATATTCCCAAGGCAATGACTGGGGTCTGGAGGTACCTGATGAATGCCTACGGCCGCGATGAGTTCACCAACACTTGTCCTGGAGACAAGGAGATCGAAATAGCTTACAGCGACGTAGCCAAGAGACTCACGAAATAAGCAGCACCTCACGCACGTGCATAACAACGCTTCTTTTAACAGACGTCTCCCTTTTTGTCTTTTTAAGATAGCAATTTACTTTGCATGTATTTGCAGTTATGCAGTATTACGTTGGGTAGAACAGATACAGTAATTTGTTTTTAAAAATGCAAACTGATATTATGCTGCTTACCTTTTTGCCTCCTATAATGAGGTGAATGCAGTGGTTAATTTTGCAGTGAAGCAATTTGGCTGAGTGGACCTCTGCTCGCTAGCATGGTCTGCAGATACTTGAGCCCACAGTGGCTGGGGGGCCAGTGTACATAGTTCAATGAACTAGATGGACCGACCCACTTCGGGGTGTGGGTGGGTTGCAGAGCTGAACACTCTTTCCATTTCTTGCGCTCTGACTTTGGAGGAAGATTGGTTCAGCCTATCCTTTTTTGCTCAAGTATTTTTTATGTGCAGAGCATTTTTCATGGGGGGATCTATATAGTCTCTTCACCCCTTCTCCCAAGGAAACTTAGTCTAGGAAAGTGTTACCTCTTGATACTGCTGATCATGGAAAGTGGCTCTGAGATCTCCAGTTGAATCTGGGATTCTTACATCAGTCCAGGGGCACTTCCTGATGGTGATTTACGGAGCTTGGGAATGCTGTAGCAGCTCTCCGAAACACTTCTGTTGGTCTGTTTGAATGACATACGAGCGCTGTTACTGCCTTTGGCAAAAAGAACTACTTTTGAAATACTTGGGCAAAGACCTTGCAAAAGGCAGATTTGAACAAGCTGAGTTACCAGAAACTGTTGCTCAGCAAACTATACTCTAGGAGTTGGGGAGGGAGAGGGGAGGTGTAACCTTAATTGCGTATTCTTGAAGAGGTCTAGAATTTTGCTGTAGTTCCTCCAGATGATTGGATCACATCCAATCTCCCTTGGTCATAAAGCATCAGTACAGGAGGTCCTTCTTTCATGGTGCAAACTAATAACCTGAGGGTGTAACAGCAGTTGGTTTCTTTTTAAGGCCCTGAACATGCAGTCCAACATACTTGAGACAGAAAAAGCCCAGTCACTCCTGACATTCACTAGCTGGAATAGCTGCCTGATGCTGGAATTTGTAGGCCATGTTCCTGTCTCAGGTTGCATAGGGATGCTCCCTAAGGGACTTATCAATTTGTAGAATTTACTTCCTAAGTAACTGTCACTCAAAAACTGAGCTGTCACGTGGCCTAGGGAAAGTACGAAGCCTTTTCTCAAGAAAGAGTTACTATTACGTTGCAAGTTAGAAGTACAGTGGCTGGGTGCCAGACACCTTTCCTTTCTCACTTTGCTAAAGTCAGGATCTTGCTCTTTTTTTATTTAAAGCAACATACAAGTGACCTTCGCAAACTAGAGTCTTTGCCTTAACAGACCATGTACGTAATCCAATTGCAATGATTCTGTCCGAGGAATAAGCCAAGTGTGAGGTTTTCAGTCCTACGTCCACTAGTTTCTTTGTCTGAGGGTTGCTTTTGTACCTCTATAATTTTTCCTGCCACAGTCATCATGTTTCAGGTCATTTGTGTTTTTTCTATAATATCAAGGAAAACTAATGTAGTTGAAAAAAGCAAAAATTGTACCACTAAATTGGATTTTCTTTAATAAAGTAAGGCCAGAGTTTGAGGTATGGAGCAACTTTTTCATTTATTTTAAATGCCATCAAGGACACCTCCAAGGAACATTAGATTCACCAGCATACTTTTTCTCTTACATACTATTTTTTGTAAAGTTTAAGGACATTTGTTAATTGACATCTCTCTGGCAGTCAAGAAGTACAGCTTCATTTAGGTTTGTATGCTGCTGCAGAAGCAAGTCCCACTGTGTTTACTTACTCTTGAGTTAGAATGCACAAGATTGGAGCCTGAGGTACTGAACATAAGCGCAGAGCACAGAAGAGGATTATGAACCGATTTTTTTTATAGCTTTTGGGTATAAGTCCTCATATTAATACTTAAGGTGCAATCCTTGCAGGTTTCCGGAGAAAAAAAAGATACACAGCTCCCAGCATGCCCCAGCCTGCATGCTGCAAGTTGTAGGGTTTTTTGGCCTAAACCTGCATAGGATTGCATCTTTACAGTGTTCCACTGATTTGCTTCAAGGATCGCAATGATTTCAGTAATAGCTTTTTTTTTTTCATTAAACATGACACTGCGGTGCCATCTTGCTCCTTCTAAGATGTAAAATATGCTATACTGGCACAATCCTTTCTCTGCCTATGCTGTTGCAACACATGGACTCAAAACCTTCTCTAGGTCTCTCATGAGTACTAAAACACAAGCCACCTCAATCATTTGTGTCATCAACTCCTAGTTTGTCACAACTGAAATCTGCTCTGAGTTCTCGCTGATTTGCCTGTGTTGCCTTTTGGTCTACTGACCAACCTGGTGTTGCCTATTCAGTAATGAGGTCACAAAATGGTAGAATTGCATTTGTAACGACATGGTGGACTTTTAAATGGTAGGTGGGTGCTGAACTTTCCCAATGCCCCTGCCGGCGTGGCCTTCCAGTTGTCACCTCTCTCGGCAGACTGAATACTCAGCGTTGTAGAGCTGGCCCCTTCAGACTGATCGCGTCTGGATGCAGTGCAGACCCAGAACATGGAGAACCCTGTCTTACTGAGCATGAGCTGGTGGACAGTGCCGTGCCATTTCCGCTTTTCTAATGCCAGCTACAGCCAAGTCATCCAGGAAGGGCTGATTTCACATGCTGTCTAAGAATTCCAAAACAGAACTTGGTCCCCTCAAAGCCAGGCTCGTGTTGGAGTAAAAAGCTTGACGTGCCAGTTTAGGGGCTTGGGCTTCAGACAGCCCTCCCATACTAATGGGGAGGAGTAAAGTGGGAGCTAGTAGGCCGCATTCACCAACATGCAAACTGGCTCACAATAAGCCAAGATTCCCCAGAATTCTGTCTTCTTGTTGGCATGTCAATACAGTAATGGTGAACTAGAACAAAATGTAAAGGGTTGGAAGAAGATAGAAAGATATGGGCTGTTAGTCTAAATTTTGCCAAATGACTGTGTACACACCACCTGTTGCCTAATTGCTTTTTTTCTATTTGGTTACTAAATCCAGTTATCCCAGAAGAGGTGGTTGGATGATTTTGGACATGGGAACATTTCCCTTAATGATTCAGGATACGAGTTAAGATCTTTTCTGTAACCTAATTAAGTTAACACCTCCCACCTGCATCAATCAAAAGGGAGGGAGCAGCTTTCAAGTTAATTTAAACTGTACTGTATATCACCTAGGACAATCTTTCATTTGATACTGGCTGTGCCTTTGCACTGTTCAAGCAACTTAATATTTGAAATACTGGAAGTGATTAAATTTATATGTGTGATTCTATTCAGCTAGAACAGGGAAGTTTTTTGAAAATAGATTTCTGAAAACAGCCTTAGCTTTCTGTCAAGAATGATGGTTTCTTCTCTGGCCAGTTATCCACTGTGTATAGTCAAGGTAATTGCTCCCACATGTTAGGGTACACATAATGATCATTTGAGTGTCCTCAACAGCTCACATAGATGAAAGTGGTGCAGTTTCTGCTGAGGGGCTATGTCCCACCATCAGTATAGCTATCTTTTGTCATGGTTAGTTAGAAGGCCATTAGTTGGTATCTGTTTTAGTTTGTCAGATTAATAGCATTCATTGGTGAAACAGACTGACCAGCTTTCTAGAAGATTGAGAGATTCCATCTTGATTTTGTTGCAGTTTAAGGTTAGAAAGGAGGGAAAGCTTTAGTCCAGAACTTGGAAAATCTCCCTCCTCTGCTTGAGCTGTGATACATACTGTATAGTTTAGGGGTTGTGGAGAATTAATTACTGTAAAGAATTAACTATATGTGTCATTAATGATCTTGCTGTCTGCCAGTTTCTTACAAAACTGACCTTTTATGTTCATCCTGTTTCAATTTTCAAACATTCTGGATTGGATCCAGGTTAGTCAGAGTGAACCTAGTGATATGGGTACAAGACTTGAATGAATCATAACTCAGTGAAGTCCTATTGATCTCAATAGGTTGACTCTATCTGGGTACGGCATTCTGCTTCCAGCCATCCTAATTAACAGAAGTAGGAACTCTTCTCTTAGAAATTTCTCCCTCTGCCAGATCGTCCTTGGACTTGTGAGCATGGGTGGATAGTCACATGAGAACCAGAAGTGCAAGCAAAAGCAGCTTATGCTGGACTGTAGCCAGTCCTTAAACCGAGTTGCCCTGATGACATCAGATGTGGGCAAGCGGCCACAGGTGGCACAACTCCTCCTATACAGTCGTCACGTTATTTGGTCTTTCCAAATAGCTTTCTGGAGGCATGATGAACTCCTCCTGCATTAAAAATGATTCCAGTTCCCATTCAGAGTCACTTTCCCCAAATCTGTTTCCTCCAGATACATTAGACTACAGCTCCCATAATTCCCAGCCAGTCTGGCCATGGGGAAGACTATGTGAGCTGAATGCTTAGCAGGCCCGAAGGGCACGAAATTGAAGAAGGCTGACCCAAAGTTTCTTTATTCTAACATCAAATATTCCCAGAACTGGCCTAACCGTAGGCCAGGAGGTGTATTGCAAATGGCGGTACATGCGGGCCCGCTCCCGTGTGTCTTCCAGGTGCTGCTGGTGTCGGCACTGGTTAGGGCGGGCAGAGTGGAAACTGGAAGGCAACCCATGAGGCACTCGGGAGGGTCTCCTGTGCCACCTTCCTGATGCCACTCGTGTTCATTTCAGCGGGAGATGTCCCCTGTGGGTTGTGCCCAAGGATCCTGGGGAAGTACAGGGAGGGCAGAGATGCAGAATGCCTCAAGCCATACTGGGGGCCGTGGGGAACGTGCTAGCCCTGCTCCTTCCCCTCCCCAATGTGTAGGGATGACCCTGCCTTTCCTACGGAAGAGTATTTAGCTAAAAGCTTCCTTGGCAGCCAGGCAATGCTAATTTGTGTTCCTTTCAGCTGTGACAATGAAAGAAGCAGTGTCACCTCAAGCCGTAATTGCTGATAGACGTGCATGTTCCTTCTTTTCTTCTGGAACATATCTGAAAAGAAGATTATTTGGGGGAGGGGCAGATACTTTTTTTTTTTTTTTGGTATTTTAATCTGCTCACCTATCGTGAGTGGGAACAAATTCCCAGGGTAGGCAGGACATTAATTTTTGCTTTTGTATAGAGAGATACCTAGAGTCTCCATATGACATACTGTAATATGCTTGTCTCCTCACTTTTCTGGAATATCTTTTACAGATATACTGGCAAACTGCTGGCAGCTATTGTTTTAAAGAATAAAATTTATATTTTCACTTACAGATGACTGGACTGTTCTCTTAAAAAATAAAGCGGGTGTGTAAAGTGTACAGCGGGCATGTAAAATAGCCTATCTAGTCTGCGATGAATGCGATTCTTCATCAGGAGACCACACGGGAAAGCTTTAAGAAAATTGGGATTTGACCTGTGTCCATTCATGCAGAGAAATGTAAAACAGCTTCATCTCCCAGCTCATTCGAGTAAGGATCCTTGTTAGCTCTGTTCAGAAGAACAAAAGACTTGCCCATCTACAACTAGAATTTGTGGTGCCTATGCAAAGAAGGTGTTTCAGTCCTTCCAATGCATCTTAGCTGTTGGAAAGATTGAATAGTCCATAATAGAGAGGTGTGATCAGACTTAAAAGCAGAGCAATGGATCTTGCAGAGATGCAAGAAATAGTCTCAATCTGGTACATAGTGGAGCTTGCAAGAAACATTTATCTTTTAGTTTAGTACTTGCACTACACTGGTGGTTTTGAATCTACAGCGTGATCTGCTTCACAGTTTGCAAATGCAGCACTGTCACCTTGACCGTACCATGTGGATCCATGTGTCCATTTTGCAGATGGGAAGCTGAGGTTGAAGGTATGTCTTAACTCATATTCAACTTTTAAAAGGTGAATATACGAACATTCTGAGTTTTGAACTATCTGAGCTCTTGTCCACTGGGAAGCAGTTTGTAAGCCACCCCGAGGCTTGTTGCAAAGGGGGTGGCATAAAAATGCTTCAAAATTTTTTTAAAAATTTAAAAGCACAGCACACTGGTACCACTCAGTAATCTGCATTCTCTGGTCTGACACTCCATCACTATGACCTGGAGGAGGGGGGAAAAAAACGCTACCAAAGATCCAATAATGGGCAGGGAGTGATAAATGTCATCATATTTCCTTGAGCCAAGGGGCTGCAAGATAAATGCAAGCAGAAATCAGAGTTCAATTGTTTCGGCCTGCAAGTTGGCTGCCCAGGACTGAGGGATTCGGGAGCATGGTTCTAGTGCTTGCCCAAATGGGGAAGTGGAGACCTTTTAATGAGCGGAAGGAAAACATGCGAGGCCATCCACCGCTGCCTCCCAAGGAGGTGGCTTCTGGCATGGATTTGGGTCATTGATTTTGCTCCCTTCTTGCCTCTGGTATGGGAAGTTAGCTGGGGAAGAATGTAGACTGAGCGGGAGGCAGCGGTTACATACACCATTTTGTCTGCACTTCCTGTATTTTTTCCAGAAAGCTGAACTTCCTAATATATACAGATTAAATTACTAATTTGAAATGAAACTCTGCGGTCACATTTTATTTGTATGGTTTTATCTAGTGGTGGTAATTTTTTTTTAAAGTGAGAGTGGCTGTCTGCAGGGAGTCGTGGTGTTCATTCAGTGAGGTGCCCCCGTTGTCCCATTTCGCTTCTGGGCTTACCAGAACTCGGGGGGCTCACATACGTTGCCTGGAAAGGGCCCCTGCTTTGTGGCCTGTCAGCGCCACATAGGGCTGGGAAAGATCCCCCTTCCCATCTGCGATGCTGGGAGCCAGAGGCTGCTGGCCCGGACGGTTCTGAATTCTGCACAGAGGACAGCTTCCTGGGCAGGGCCTGTAGCTTACTGCCATTCGAGTGCCTGATGTGGGAAATTGGTTGCCTGAACTGGAGGTGGCGGGAGTGGAGCAGCTTCCATGTAGGCAGAAGTGCCTGTTCCTGTCCAATCTTGGAAGCTAAGCAGGGTTGTGCCTGGTTGAAATCTGGATGGGTGACTTAACATTGCAGACTGCCCAGAGAGCTTCTGCTACAGGCAGTATAGGAATGTAATGAATAATAATAATAATAATAATAATAATAATAATAATAATAATAATAATAATAATAGACTGCTGGCTCCTGGGGACCTCTGGTCTCATCAGGATGGCCAATAGATGGCGCTCTTGCTGCATCTTGCTTGCAAGGCCGTGTCTCTGAAAGGGACCTGTGCTTGGTTTGCTTGCAGAAGGTCCTCAGCTCCCTCTGTGGCTCCTCCAAGTAGGGACTGCTGTTAGCAGGTAACTGACGGCTGCTTGCTGAGTTCGAGCGAGACTGGGATGCATTCGGGGGCCTGAGCTGGGCTTGCTTCCCTTTGAACAAGCCAGATGTTTCTTCTGGCCTTGCTAGCCCAGTTTTCTCTACCCCGACTGCATGGGAGCTCCTGGGCCTCAGCCCAAGAGGGCCTTCCCTCCACGCTGGCTGCCTGTGCTCTTCCATATTGCCCGCATCAGAGCATTTCCACTGGAGAAGCCCTGGATCAACCGCCAGCCTCCACACGCCAAGCAGGTGCCCAGTCATGGCATGCTGACTGCTCCAAGCGCCAGCTCAGAGCCATTCCCATTTCCAACTGGGGGCAGGAAAGATATTAGAAAATAATGCTGAGAAGGCCCTGAAAACAGGGCGTGGATTTAGCTTAGAGTCGGGGAACATGTGGCCCTCCACATGCTGATGGACCCCAACACCCATCATGCTTGTAGGGTTTATTGGCTAGAGCTTACAGGAATCGCCCCTCTGACAACACTGAGGAGACACATGTTCCCCACTGTTGGCTTTTAAAGCGTATTTCTGCTTTCCAGGTCACCAGCTCAGAGCCCCCTCCCCATTTTTTGCTTGGGAAGAGACGCAACCCGTTCCACTGTGCCATTGGAAGCCACCACATTCACTGGCTAGTTAGCGTTTTAAAATGATCTTCCAGATTGGTTTGCACATGTGTGTGTGTGTGGGGTATGGCATGGCTTTTTAATTCCTTTACAAATCTCCACCCTCCAGCCCCTAAAGGTTCCCCACGGCACAGCACAAGCCCTCCAAGTGGGTTTGCAGAAAGGTCCCGGGGCAGCATCAGGCCTCTTTCTGAAACAGGATGAACCGCTCTGAGGCCGGAGTGTGACTGCTGCAGCCGGGAGGAAAAAGTGACTCCTCCATTTCTCTCGGGGCTTGGGGCTTGCTGGGGATATTTTGAAGTGGCTCTCTCTACACACTGGCCAAGAGCTCCATCCTAGCACCATTTAATGCTGACCGTCACCTTCCCTCTTGATCTCCCGTCAGCCTTTTATATTTTTACTGTCCTGCTGCACTGCCCTGGATGCAGTTAGTGTGTGATTCTGATGGGAGCTCACCTGGGTGGCCTCAATTCAGTCACTGCCTGATTTCCCACCACTGCGGCAACTGGGGTAGCGATGAGGGGAGTGAGAAGTGGAGAACTGCCAGGGCCCCCTTTATATGGCCTGCTGTTGCCCACCCCCAGCGCAGAAGCATTAGGAGCTGCCTTAAGCCCATTCAGACCCTTGTTCCCCCTCCCTGTGTGTCGTCCAGACCAGGGGTGGGGCGCCTGGCACTTCAGCTGCAGCTGTTGCCACCTTGGGCCAATGCGAAGGGTGTAGGAGCAGCAGTCCAGCACCTGGAGCACCACCGGGTTCCCCTCCTGGGCTGTGCAGCCATGCCCACCTCCCACGCTGGCAAATCGGGACCACGGCAAGCTGCTTAGAATGGGTGGGGAGCCATAGGTCCCTCCCTGTGGAAGGGACCCTTTTGGTGCCCCTGAAGAGATGCCTTGTGTTCCCCGCCGGGTTATTTCCTGAATGGACCAATTCAGATTTGGAAAAGCTGTTGGCAGGTTGCATTCCAGTGGGGGAGCCACAACTGCACCCCTCCCCCCTCAGCGCTTGCAGCCAGTAATCAAGCCACAAGAGGGAGGAGGGTTTTAAACTTCCGGAATGGGGGAAAACCAGGACAGCGCCAGCCAGTCATTGGGTGATGGGGGTGGGCCCGGGGGAAGGGACCCTGGCTGTTGGCCCCTGCCCCTCTGCTCTCAGAGGGGCAGCCTGGAACAGCCGTGCAGAGAGCCAGGGAGGGCCAGCTGGCGTGGCTGCTGGGCTTTCCATGCGCAGGGCTCCGTGGGCTGGTACGGCTGCTGCGTATGTGCCTTGTGTGCTTTGCCACTCACTCCCAGCTGATGCTGGAAAAGTTCCAGTGAAGGCAGAAAAAGACAAAACTCATGATCCTTTTGATGGGAGGCTTGTGTTTTTCCCACTGGACACACAGATGAATCAACTGGTTCCAAGACAAAGATCAAGCATGTGAACTTCAAACAAGGGAATGCCAAGTGACAGCTCCCACATCTTCGATGCCTCAGGCAGAGGGCTTGGTGGAGCACTGTCAGAATGATTTTTGTCAGTCTTTTTTTCTTTTTTTAATAATGAGGATTCCACCAAGGAAAAGCTCTGATTTGATCTGAAGCGAGGTTGCTCTTTCAAGCTGGTGCAGCCCTGGGGAATGGTGGCAGGTTTCTCTGGCACCTTTCCTCTGCAGCCAGGACCTTTCCATGGAGCCGAGCCTGCTGCCCACCTTGGACAACTTCCCAGGGAGTGGCTGGTGATGTGGGACGACCGAAGCCCATCCCAGGTTCTCCCCACATTTGTGGTGCTCCGAGGGTTTCAGTGTACAAAGCGACACATCTTCTGGGTACGTCTTCTGTGCAGGGGTAGGGGAAGCCGGAGGCCAGGTGCAAGTTCAGGCAAACACCCAGTCAACTTAAGTGAGACCCCCAAAAGTCCTTTTTGTCTGAGATCTAAAATTATCCAGTTGCACCACTGTTGATGGACATTGATGTGTCTCCTCGTGTCCCCTATGGAAGGGACCCCTTTGGTGCCTCTGAAAAAAATCCTAGTGTGCCCCAGTGGCATGGCAGAAGTTAAGGATTGGATGTTGTTGGTTGAAAAGCCAGTAGCCCCTTAAACCTCTGTAAAATGTTCTTCAAGCCGTCCTACAGGAAGGTTTTCATCAGCGTGTTTTTTGTGAGGCAGGGAAGGCAAACAGGAATTCTGTTCCCCCTCAGTTCATGCACAAACTCTAGTTTTCTGTGTTGTAGACTCTTGTTCACTTGAAGAATCCAGTTGTCTTCCCCCCCTGCTTCCAACATCTGTGGTGCCATGGGTCAGGCATGGACTAGAAAGGTCTGGCTTCAAATCACATGCAACTATAAATCACAAGGAGTGACTT